GTAGGAGTAGGAGTGGTAGTGGTAGTAGTAGTAGTAGTAGTAGTAGCAGTAGTAGTAGTAGTAGTAGTAGTAGTAGTGGTAGTTGTAGTGGTAGCAGTAGAAGTAGGTACTTGCAGCCAAAGCAATAATAGTAGCGCAATCGTAGCGAGATTCCGGAAAGCATGCCTTGCAAGGACTACAAATAGGAGGATTTGTGGTGCGTAGACCGCCGCCCGTGCCATGTGCAAGTGCCGTGCCGATTTAGGCCCTTGGAAGTAGTCCACAACAACATGCCTGAACTTAGCAACCAGATTACATGGAGACCGTATCTGGAATGCAAGCATGCATACATACATAGTTACAATACACTACATTACATTACATTACATTGCATTACATTACATTACATACATACATGCATACATACATACATACATACATACATACATACATATGTGTATATGTATCTGTATACATTAATATATATATATATATATATATATATATATATCTGTACGCTGCGAGTTCTTCTTCAGACTGACACCGGAAGAAATCGGGGGAGCCGACCTCCCGGGCTCGAAGTCGAGGCAGGCCCAACTGCGCCGTCCTAGCAAGAGCCGAGAGCACTCCCGAAGCCCCCACTGCGGTGATGATATAAATCCTGCATCACCCTAAGGACCCTAAACTATGGGGAGTTATGGTATATTCCTTATAATGGGTAATGCAAAACTTATATCATCGACCGTCCCCCCTCCTTAAGCTTTTCTTTAGACAAAGTAGTGGAGTCTCACCTTGGAGCTCGATGGGGTCACTTCGGATGCCATGTTCAGCCGGAGAACCTGGGCTTAAGGGTCTAGGGCCTTTGTGGCGCCTAGGGGGGAGGGGGGCTTTAGGTTCAGGGTTTAGGGTTTAGGGGGCGCAAAACCTCTGCAGCGAAAGCATGCTTTGCACGAAAGCATGGAAAATAGGTTCCATGACAAAACCCCCTGGTCAATGCAAGGGCTTACCTGAGGCACCAGCCCAAAAAAGAGAAGCACAATGGAGCTGAGCGCAGCCGAAGGTAGAAACAGTCTGTAAGAGTGTTGCTTCCGATGCCTGGGAAACTAGGGGTCACAGTCTCTGGTCCTGGCTAGAGTGGCCAAGGTTTCCACTATTGTTTTCTAAGCCGTCCACGAACAGGTCGAATCAAACACCAAGCGCCGATGCTACAGCCACGACAGATCTCGAGCCAACGGCTGAGAAATTGGGGCTGGTTTGACTGATCTCATCCCTCGGACGTTGTGAAGGCCCTGTTCCAAGTCCGCTTTAGGTGGTCATAGTCACCTAAACCATGTCGGGACTTCCGAGAACGAGGATCGCTCTCTTCGTCTCTCTGCAGGCCTCTCTTTCAAGGCCCGGAGTTTCTGAATCAATGGAGCTGCGATGGCGGCCCTACCGAAAGAAGACTCAGCCTCTGTCAAACCTTTGCCTGTCCTCGCCACCTGGTCTATGGTACCATCGCAGGCAATGGCAGATGTCGCCTCTGCCTGTCTGTAGCTCTTTCCGGAGTCGGTAGTCGAGTGGAATTGCCAGATTGATCATATCACGTCATATTCATCGGCATCGTACAAACGAAGGTTCAACAGGCTTCCAGCTGGAGAACTCACCCTTTCCGGGAGACTTCTCCTGGTCGCCGGTCAGGGGTGACGGGTCTATGCACCCGCCGGCTTCCATCGCAAACATGCGCACCATGCACATGGAAGTGCTTTGAAGCCGACGAAGCCCCAGGAGCTCAACGCCTTCAAAACGGCCTTCAAGCTGCAGACTCGCTCAGTCCATCGAGCCCGCCGCATGGGCGAGGAAGCCAATCGTCAGCAGCACCTGTTCCAGGGTCACGCTGCCGTGGCTTTCTGCGAGGTGAAGTCATGCACGACCCGGAATGTGACTTGTTGTCGCGAAATGCTTCAATACTAACGGCGGGCTCACCTCAAATGCATTGCAGTTGGCTCAGTTTGATATTGCGGTTGCTGCAGTCCAGGCAGAGGCAACCCTGAATGTCCGCCAGCCCGACTCCAATCCAGCCCAAAAAAAATGGAAAGCATGAGAAAAAAGTAATGTAGGGGCCTTAATAATAATTAGAATAAGGTTTTGGGGGTTCCTTATTATAATAATAGTATACTACACGCCCAAACCCTATTCTATTTATTAAGGCCCCTATATTAATTAAGCACAAGCGAGCTCATGACCCAATGCAGGTCATGCCACGTGTGGGGATTTTGCTGCAGCGGAGGTGGCCACGTAACCCTCGTCCGTCGGATCGAGGTTCCTGAGCACGTGCGATGCGCACCACACAGCCAGACTCACTACTTTTAGACGGCTTCTCCTGCAATCTCCTGCAGAAAGGCGGTTCTGAACTCTTAGAACACCCTGAGCTCTTCTTTCGCTCATGGGTCTGATTGTTGCTCTCCACCGCGGCCATGACATGAGCGGCAACCGCTCCAAAGTGGAAGAGGGCGAGTGCCTGTCATCGCATACTGTATACCGCATACATGTTTGCGTGAAGTAGCGACTTCAGCATTGCTAGTTTGGTATTTATTTGGGATGTGTTTTGGTGGGTGACAACACTAAGCTCTTGGACTCTACAGAGGCGGGCATCACCTGCTGCAAGCTTCCTCAATGCAGAGCGGCCGTACCACGCAGTACATACTGCATCATCGATGAAGACTTTTCCGGCGAATGGGGCATTGCAGAAGACAAAGCTCATCGTAGTATCTTCAACCATCAACAGTAGCCACAAAATAGGTCTGCCGTCATTAACATGACGACGCTACAGCTCTGCAGCAAGCTGCAATTCTGCTTGGGGTTGGGCTACGTGGCCAGCCCCAAAAGCATCCACGAACTGACGTGGAACATGCCGATCTGAGGGCCTTCCTCATTGCTAAGGGTAGCTCGGTAGCTCTAATGTTACTGCTTTAGTTCCGATTCTTATCGCTGCTTTCGCTTTAGTGAGAATCGCCAGGGCTAGCTGACAAACATGTCGGAGGAGGTGCTGCCATTGCCTATGCCGTTGCTACATGACGCCAGCGCTGCTCCCGCAAAGCGACATCCCGATTTGTGATTTGCTTTGTGCGTCAGGTGCTCTTTTTGGTATTTCGAACCCCTCTGTCTGTTGCAGCTGGCACTGATACAATGCATTGCTGTTTCTGCGGCTGCGACTCTTGCATGTGTTGCTGTTGCAGCTGCTGGTGTTGTTGTTTCTGTTGCTGTTACCGTTGCAGTTGTTGCCTCGGGTGAGATATAGGGGAGGATAGGAATATAATGATCCTTGGACGGGGTGACTGGTGGTAGTATTACCCCAAGATGGGCAAAACTTCTGCTAACTCCGCCTGCGAGACTGTCCGCCCGACTTCAGAGCGCAGCTGGCCCTTCCAAATGACCTGGATTTGGGCTTTGCTGTGTGGGGAGTAAGGTTCCGGGTCTGCAGCAAACCTTCTGTTGACGGTTTACGCTTTAGCTGTCGCTGATCAACATTTAGGATGGCTCACCGTCTAGACTTGCACAGAATGCCATTGGCAGTATCACTGCCGTGCTT